GTAGACAGAGATTACAAACAATATGTAGTTGGAGATACATGGGGGCCAAAGAAGAAACCCAGAAGGGCACATAGGAGGGGGGGGGGGGGGACATGAAGTGGGAGATGGGGGGGAGGGGTTAATAAAAAAGGCAATACAAGCAAACAGTATACAGTCATAGATATACCGAAAGTAAACAGAGAAACAGCATAGAGTATTTACATGAACAAATTTACAAAATATTTACAGATTGTTTATCATCATAATGACACCATGATGTTTCTATACAGTCTATGGTCAATACCCACACATACACACACACACCCACACCCATAAACACACACACTCCACACACACACACACACATACACCCCACAGATAAGATAAGATATAAAGTCTGCCCGCCTGAGTTTCACCAAGCTAAGCGGAACCCAGCCAACATCAAAACCAAATCCGACACACACACAGAACCCCAAGCAGGCCCCCACCCCAAAAAGGGGGGGAGGGAGCCCACGCCCGGCCCATTCCCTCTCTTATTTTGTTCCTTTTTCCCAAGTGTTTTTCTTAACTAAACGTGTCATGCATTAAAATAAGCTTTCGCTTACCCTGACTTGTGTATTATCATTATATGCACATATTATTCATGTTATTATTATATTTATCTACTTATTCATCCTTTTTTAAAATTTTTTATTATTATTATTAATTTTATTTTATTATTTTTATTTTATTTTAATTAATTCAAGGGACATAAAGAATAGATACAAATGTGTGACTAATTTGCGATTAATCGCGAGTTAACTATGAAATTTGTGCGATTAATCGCGATTAAATATTTTAATCGTTGGACAGCACTAAATATATATATATATATATATATATATATATATATATATATATATATATATATATATATATATACAGTATACTGTATATATAGTCCACAGGAGCTGAGATCTTACAGTGGGGGCTTCAGGCAAAGTGGGGTTAAGTGTCTTGCCCGAGGACACAGCAACAGCAGTCATCAGTGGGAGTCGTGAAGTACTGTAGGTCACTGTAGGCCTTCAGGCCCAAAGGCCAGTTGTGATTGTGGTCTTTTTTCGCTGGTATCATGTTATTTCAATCCAATCCAATCCAGTCCACTTTATTTATAAAGCACATTTTATAAAACAAGTTTCCAAAGTGCTGCACAGAGATAAAATCAACACATTTAAATATGCACAAAGTAAAAACAATACAAATGTAATAAAAACAATAAAATACCAGTTAACTATAAACATGTGATGAAAACAATGAAATACTAGTTATCAGTATTATATATATATATATATACATACATATATATACAAATATATATATATATATATATATATATATATATATATATACATAAACTGCACAGATGTTTCTGTGAACCAAGTGGCTGGCATAGTGTACAGAAACATCTGTGCAGAGTATGGGCTGGAAACCCCAAGGTCTAAGTGGGAAACTCCTCCAAAGGTGGTGGAGAATGAGTGTGTGAATACCCTGTGGGACTTTCAGATACAGGCCGACCGAATGGTAATGGCGAACCAACCTGACATTGTGGTGGTAGACAAAGGGCAGAGGACAGCCGTGGTGGTGGACATGGCAATTCAAAGCGATGGTAAAATCTGGAAAAAAGAACATGAAAAGCTTGAGAAATACCAAGGGCTCAGAGAGGAGCTGGAGAGGGCCTGGAGGGTAAAGGTGACAGTGACCCCGAAGCTAGATGAGTGGTTACAGCGGATCCCCGGAACAACCTCGGACATCTCGGTCCAGAAATGTGCAGTGCTAGGAACAGCAAAGATACTGCGCAGAACCCTCATGCTCCCAGGCCTCTGGTAGAGCAGGGGTTCCCAAAGTTTTTAGCCCGCGACCCCCATCATAAATGCGCTGCTCCCCCGCGACCCCCCACCTCAACAGTCCTTCCCGTCAATGAGCATGTATTTCCTTGATACGGAGTAACGCAGAGACTCGCGCCACTACTGAGCTGCACCGTCCAGCCCAAAAAAGGAGGCTTGCGTATTTTTACTCACGTAGTGACACAGTGATGGGATTGGTGGGCTCCCTTCTTAGCAGAAGTGGAGCGCATTTCTTGCGGCTCGCCCTCTCTGTTCTCATACCGCGGTAAAGTGGCCCGGCTTTTCGGAGTCAGCGGTCAAGAGGTCCGCACATAAAAAGCGGGCGGCCGCTTTCTGCTGTTACTTTATGCGCTTCATCCCCGCGGCTTCTTTTTCCAAAGTTACTGTAAGTAACAGCATAAAGCAGCCACCCGCTTTTAATGTGCGGACCTCTTTACCACTGACTCCGAAAAGCCGGGCCTCTTTACCGCGCTGTTCTACCGCTGCCCTCTCTCCCTCCGCTGCCCTCTCTCCCTCTCTTCGCACCATCAGCCTGACCTCACATGTGACTTTTCTCTCCCTCCGGGTTTTTCTGTTGTGGATATTAACCACGTTTCCTTTTAAAGCAGGTATTATTTGTTTGAAGCCTCCAAACACCTTTAGTTTTAGCAAACAACAGCTGGACACGCTTTGTCGCTGCGTGACGTACGCTGTCAATGACTGGACAAAATTACAAACGTAATTTAAATATTTTATATTCTCCTAACACAATTTAACAAGTAGTCCTTTTGAATCAAATCAAATGCTAAATCAATATTTAAGGGCTATTAATTAGCTAATTTTTTATTTTTTATTTTTTGGAAATCATCTTGCGACCCCCCCCAGGGGTTCCCGCGACCCCCCGGGGCGTCGGGACCCCCACTTTGGGAACCACTGGTATTAGATGACACTTCTGCTCCAAAAATGTTTTTAGTATGCCACGTCTGAGCATGAAGGAATGGCTTTCCTCATTCAGGGAGATCGTCCAATGAGAACTTTCTGGTGCTCGCATTCACAAAGCCACAATCGAAAACATAACTTTGTCAAATTTAATGTAAAAAATTATTTATTTTTTGGACTTATTACTTTGTATTTTAGTATCTCATCCTCCTGCAATACATATTTGTATGTGGCGGCACGGTGGCTGAGTGGATAGCACTCTCGCCTCTCAGCAAGAAGGTCCTGGGTTCGAATCCCGGTTGGACCAGGGCCTTTCTGAGTGGAGTTTGCATGTTCTCCCCGTGTCTGCGTAGGTTTCCTCCGGGTGCTCCGGTTTCCCCTACCACTAAAAATATGTACAATAGGTCTGGCATGTGCCTCCTGTACTGGCACCCCCACTCCCAAAAATCACAATTGTAAACCGCTTTGAGACTCCGATGTGCAGTGAAAAGGCGGCATATAAATAAAAGGTTACTAGGTTAATTACTATATCATTTGAATGTCAAAATACATAGTAATATGTAATTAGCGGGATCCGTGGATGTCAATGACTGAGGAAACCAGCTTCTGTTATTTGTGTTTATATCTTAGAAGTAGCTATACCCAAATTTTTTTTTTATCAGTTCATAAAAATGCTTATTACTACATACAAGTTGTACTATAATCAGTCATTTAATTGAAAACTTGAGCTCATCGATTCAGCTTGTATATGAATTCAGGCCGTATAAAAGTGCAATCACGGAATGATGAGCGAACAGTCTCTACAGCGCTGCTAAACACAGTAGCATGTTAATAGAAAGTGGATAGCTCCTCTGGCTGTAACTGCATACACAGCAAAACAGCCCAAATGACACATCAATGTGGAAGAGAAGAGGGAACTAAAGCAAAAAAAATGATCAAAGAAGAAATCAAGCCCAGGTGAACAGCTAGCTTACATCGTATCCTCTGGAGAGACTTGTCTATGGGAGAGACCTGGGGGACCTCGGACTATCTATGCTCGGACAACATGTGGACGCAAATCTAGCGGAAATCTTTCAGTTATAGATTTTGTCAGCAGTGCGTTGCTTTTGTACCATTTCATCAGTGATTGTTGTACAGCTTACAAGAAATTGCGCTCATGGTAATGTTTCATACGCATCAGATCGCAAATAAAACTAGATGGCTTTGTGGGATGAGAGCGTCGGGGAAATGAGAGACCTGCGAGCGAGTTGAGGGGCGGTGCTAAAACATTCAAACTTTGCAGAAACCTTTAATCTGTGTATGTATGTATAGATTCACATATGTGAATATTTTTTATTATTTGTCGCGGCTATTATCTTTTTAATGTTGGAAACAACAAAATAATGCATAGAATTGTAACTCATGTATTGTTTACTTGTTTATCCATTGAATAGCTAATGCCTGCCTGGAATATGTGTGTGAGTGTTGGAGGGGGAATCGAAAGGAAGGTGGGGTGGAAATGTAAAAAAAATTGTAAACACATAACATAGAACATGTAATCTGAAAAGCAAAATCCCATAAACATTTGATCAAAAAAAAAAAAAAAAAGTGGATAACTGGACAGATGCAGTAAACGGTATTCAGATACGGTATATTTTGTCAAAGTTTAAAGTTTAAAAAGGGCCATATTTTGCTTTTCTTCATTATCTACAGTCCATCCTATGCACATGTGCGATAACAATTTGGGTGATGCACCGTACAACACTCAAGACCTGTCAAATTATAGCAATTTTGTGCATAGAGGTGCACGTTTCTGTGCCTCTCCAGAATGAATTGGAGAGAATGGTCTTTTACTAAAGCTTGACGGAATCAATGAAAAAACTACTCTGGGCATCAGTATGAAGGCCAAATAGCACTGTAATCATGTTTAACCCAGAGAAAAGTCAAAAACATAATATGGGACGTTTACAACAATTGTTGAACATGAATGATGTGACAGAAAGTGATTTTGTATATTTTCTTGTATCATTACTACACTAAAAATGCATCGCTTGTTTGTTTGTTTATCTAAAAGAAATAATATAAAATAATATATCTGTACCAATATTATTTTGTCTCAATATTTGAAAATAGAGATTTGAAAAAAAAAACAGGATAAATCAGATCTAAGGAGACACGAGGAGAAAACAGACACAGGGAGAACATGCAAACACAGACAGCAGGAGAACATGTAAACACAGCTCATGTCAGGGACCCTGTTGCTGTGACGTTCTTAGCACTCACCGTTTCAAAGAGCTCCTCCATAAGCTCGCTCACCTCCTTCTCTGAAACAAATAATAACTCCACTTAACAGCCTCAAGTGGAGAAAAGTGGCCTGCTCTGCACTTTGCTGCTGCATTACAAGTGGCATATGGGGGTTGTACTCACTGGTGATGCGCACTCCTCGGTCGTCTCTGTAATCCTCCAGATCTGGTTCATCACGATCAGCCAAAAAGTTATACTCAGGATCGTCGTCATCGTCAGCCTCCTCTGAAACACACACGCGTTATACATGACAAACACATGCATGTTACGTACACACAGGGATCAGAGACAAAAGAAGCACACACAGGGATCAGAGACAAAAGAAGCAGTCACCCTCCACATCTGAGGTCATCAGGCCACGGAGCCAGTCGGTCCAGTCCCGATCCTCCTCTGGGTCCTGGTCTGGGTCCTGGTCTGGGTCTGGGTCCAGAGAGGACCTGGTTTCATTAAAGTCCGGGTTCAGGACTCGAAGCTCCGCCTCCAGTCGCCCCCAGAGGAACATCTGTGAGGGAATGCTTCGACCGAGTTCGAGAAGCCATCAGGTCTACGTCTTGCAGAGGCTGAAAGAAGAGGGGTAAGGAGAGCGGTCAAGATAATACAGTATGTAAGGGTTAGGCCCCGTCCCAATTCTCACCCATCCATCCATCCATCCATTTTCTTCCCTTTAATCCATTTCTGGGTCAGGGGGGTGGCAATCAGAGATGCCACCCAAGTCTCATAGCACCAGCCCCTCACTGACCCTCTGCAGGTGGTGAGTCCACAGGAGGAGCCTGTGGACTCACCCTTGCCCGTAAAAAGCTAGCCTGACTCTCGCCAGACCCATGTAGTTTGCTGCACTTCACACATGAGGCTGGTACTGAGCCATAGTGGTTGGATTTCAGAAGGCAGGGCCTTGTACCCAACCAAACTTTACAGGAACATTTGACTCTTAAAACACACATATATCAATATAGAACCATCAACATCTCGCCTCAAATTGCATTAAAAGTGACATCTGTGTCTTAATTTGATCGTATTTACTCTTTTAAAAAGATTTGCGGACTTTACGTCCGCCATCTTGGATTCCTCTCGCTGCTGCATGAGAAAAGCTTGAGAAGGCAGTGCAAACCCCACGTAACACCGGCAGTCCTGATTGGTCGATTAAAAAATAATCTGGGGAAGGCGTTCGCTATGGCGTCGATACCAGACCCATATGGTTCAGCCAAACGCCTCTGGTGGAGCATGGCAGAACTAAAAGGGTCTGGCAGAGCCAGGCTGTTAAAAAGCGCCCTTGCCCTAGATTTTGCACGTGTCCACGGGGGTTGTAGGGTGTCCCAATATTTAGGGAGAAGAGGCGAGGGCCCTCACACCCTTAAAAACCACCCTTGAGCGCAAATGAGGTCTGGAGCTCACTTGCGAGCGAGGGTGATCCCATAATGCATTACGATAGTTGTTGGTAAAGCAGCTGTCGGGCAAAGCCGCGCCACAATGAAAGAAAACAACATGAACCACCCGTGCAACTTTGTTCGGAACGGGAGGAAATTCTGAAGCGTGTGCGAGTCAGAGTTTTTAAAGCGTGTGTTGGTGCCGTGTGGTGACGTTCACTCCCAAAGCAGCCGCAGTGGGTGGCGTTCACTGAGGTTCAGAGATGTGGTGCATGTTATTATTATAGATCCATGATGTAGTTCAGAGCATCGCTTTGACACAGTTTGCTTTGTGATCCGCAGGACTGCAGCTGTACCCGTCTGTCTCTGTGTGGTACGTCTCTGTGCGCTTATGTCTGTGTGCGTGTGCGTCTGTCTGCGTCTCTCTCTATGAGTGCATGATGTGTAGCAGTTCTGTACCTAATTTGAGCAAATCTTCATATGAAACAGAATTAAAAACGTCTAATTTTAATAAATACTGTGTTTCACAAAGTCATATCTGTGTCAGATCTTATCTGTGGTGAAATCAGACACATTGATAATGTGTGTGACGAGGAACACGTTTGCTGTGTCATTTGCATATTGTCCCCTAGATCCAGGGGTGTCCCAATTCTTAGGGAGAATATCCTGAGAGTGCACTCCCCTATGGGAAGGCACTTTTCTAGTAAGGGCACTCACACCTGGAGGACCCTTAGAATTGGGACGGTTTTCATGGTTCTCTCTGCGCTTTAAACAGAACCCTGAGAGTATCAAAGAGCAGGTGCATTTATACGGAGACTCGATTACACACAGGTGCATTCTATTTATCATCATCAGTCATTTAGGACAACATTGGATCATTCAAAGATCCTCGCTGAACTTCTGGAGTGAGTTTGCTGCACTGAAAGTAAAGGGGCCGAATAATATTGCACGCCCCACTTTTCAGTTTTTTATTTGTTAAAAAAGTTTAAATTATCCAATACATTTCGTTCCACTTCACGATTGTGTCCCACTTGTTGATTCATGACAAAAAATTAAAATTTTATATCTTTATGTTTGAAGCCTGAAATGTGGCGAAATGTTGAAAGGTTGAAGGGGGCCGAATACTTTCGCAAGGCACTGTATGGCTCACTGACTGCAGGAGAACATGGACCAGTGGGCTCACTCCTTCACTGTATCCAACAGATCAGTGAGTGGATGCAAAACAACTTCCTTCAGCTAAACGCAGACAAAACTGAAATGATTGTCTTTGGTCCCCAGAAACAAAGAGAGAGCGTCATCCGTCACCTCCAGTCTCTCTCCTTAAAACCTTCAAACAAGGTCAGAAATCTAGGGGTAATACTGGACTCGGACTTGATTGGATACATTGCCAGGATCAAAAACATAGTGTCTAAAGCAGACTTCGAGATTCTTATCCATGCATTTGTCTCCAGTAGGTTAGACCAGGGGTTCCCAAAGTTTTTAGCCCGCGACCCCCATCATAAATGCGCTGCTCCCCCGCGACCCCCCACCTCAACAGTCCTTCCCGTCAAGCATGTATTTCCTTGATACGGAGTAACGCAGAGACTCGCGCCACTACCGAGCTGCACTGTCCAGCCCAAAAAAGGAGGCTTGCGTATTTTTACTCACGTAGTGACACAGTGATGGGCTTGGTGGGCTCCCTTCTTAGCAGAAGTGGAGCGCATTTCTTGCGGCTCGCCCTCTCTGTTCTCATACCGCTGTAAAGTGGCCCGGCTTTTCGGAGTCAGCGGTAAAGAGGTCCGCACATAAAAAGCGGGCGGCCGCTTTCTGCTGTTACTTTATGCGCTTCATCCCCGCGGCTTCTTTTTCCAAAGTTACTGTAAGTAACAGCATAAAGCAGCCACCCGCTTTTAATGTGCGGACCTCTTTACCACTGACTCCGAAAAGCCGGGCCTCTTTACCGCGCTGTTCTACCCCTGCCTTCTCTCCCTCCGCTGCCCTCTCTTCCTCTCTTCGCACCATCAGCCTGACCTCACATGTGACTTTTCTCTCCCTCCGGGTTTTTCTGTTGTGGATATTAACCACGTTTCCTTTTGAAGCAGGTATTATTTGTTTGAAGCCTCCAAACACCTTTAGTTTTAGCAAACAACAGCTGGACACGCTTTGTCGCTGCGTGACGTAAGCTGCGTAACTTGATTTTGATTGACGCTGTCAATGACTGGACAAAATTACAAACGTAATTTAAATATTTTATATTCTCCTTACACAATTTAACAAGTAGTCCTTTTGAATCAAATCAAATGCTAAATCAATATTTAAGGGCTATTAATTAGCTCAATTTTTCTTTTTTTTGGAAATCATCTTGCGACCCCCCCCAGGGGTTCCCGCGACCCCCACTTTGGGAACCACTGTGGTAGAGGACCCGAGCTTAGAGAGGGATAACCGCCCGCGGAGGGCCAAAGGTGAGTGGACAATTTATTTTTATTATATATATATATATATATATATATATATATATATATATATATATATATATATATATATATATATATATGTAGAGAGAGAGAGAGAGACTAAATAGAGACTAAATGTTTTGGCTGTTTACAGTATGTTCAGTCTGCTCGCTCAGACCACTAATGTCCCTGTGACCACTTTGCGGCTCTCTGATTGGTCGCTGCACGAGCGTCCCAAGGAAACGCTCAGCAATAATTGCACCTCTGCTGCGCAGTTCATGCGTCTCTGCCGCGCAGTCCGTGCGTGCATCCCGAGATGCACATACATGTCACCATTGACTCTGCATTGAAAGTCGACGCAGCATGATCCGGTGTGAAAGCCCCATAAGATGAGCCATCACATGAAACATGTGAGAAGTAGGTAGATACATCACAAGCAAAGTGTGAAAAGCAATCACACTTATTCGGGCTGCAGGAATTGATTAACAAACTATACATCTAAATTATTTTAAATGATTTTGTAGTTTAAAAAATATATTCAATAACGTATATTTTATTATTATTAGATGAAACGAGGGGGGTTTGAAATGGCCTGTTACCGGTTTGATTTGTGTTTAAAAACAAAGGAACAAAGGAAAAAACTGGATGCAATGATTGAAAAACTACTGTTTATTGTATGTCATCTGTTCTAAAGGGTTAGTTTTCATCCAAAATGTGTCTTTCTTTGGGGTAATCTTCATTAACCTGTTCAGTGACACTTCTGTTGTCCTATCTTTGCTTCGTTTGTAACATTTCCATGTTTTAAAATAGAAGAACGTGGACAATATAGACGTACAATACAGGTGCAGATACATAATACAGGTGCAGACACATAATACAGATGCAGACATAGATTACAGATGCAGACATAGATTACAGGTGCATACATACAAACAAAAACAAGAAGCAAAAAGACAGCGGTGCAAATATTCACATTTTCAGTGATATTTGCAATGTAAGTAGAGGATCTATACAAAGAGGGGAGATATAGAGGACAATGACATAAGGACACTGTGAATAAACTACTCACATTTCAACAACATAATCTCTTTAATACATGTTGTCAGCCGCTGGTTCAAAACTACAGGTTATCTGGACATCAGCACAAACAGACAAGTTACAGACTACAGTCTAGTCTGGGTCTCTGCTAGATGGAAAGCAGCAGAGTGACAAAGAATGGACCAAGAGCTCTGGTCTTATACCATGATAATTTGAAACACATGCAACAATATGTCCCACCATCCTTAGGTGAAGACAATACCTCCTATGTTCAGAACAAACAGTAGCCCCTGTGTAAGTAAGCCTGAGGCTACTCTAAACAGATGTTTTCTGCGTTCTTGCCTTAATTTAACTTCCTGTGTTTCATGGCTGGGGATGGGAGAATGTTGCTGATGCGTCCATCACATCCCATCACACACGTAGGTTAACCCAAAGCTGTCTAAACTTTGAATATATTCTAATTCACTTTAATGAAAATCCAACAACTCTACTAACATTTCCCTCCTGTTTTTCATTAAAAGAATTAATCACATTCAATGTTTAGTAAACCAACTTAAAGATGGAACACAATGAAATTAATACAAACACAGTATTACATTTGAATCCAAGTTGCGTCAACTCAACTTAGAGACCCCTCTTGACATGTGTCTTATAAAAATCACATTGGT